TCAACATGACAAAGGAGATCAGAGACGTCACACGGGACAAAAAGCTCTGGAGGACCTTTTTCATTTCACCAGGTAACCATGAAAACTCTGTAATCAGGTTTAGGACCATCACCACAACTAATCTGCTGTGGCCCCAGACTCTGGAGCTCTCTCCCCCTGAGCCTAAGATCAGTGGACTCAGTGGTCTCCTTTAAAATGCAGCTGAAAACTCACTTATTCAAACTGGCTTTTGCGTGACCTTTGTCACCTCCCTCTCCTTATTCTGTTCTTATTCCACCTTTCCCGGGATCAGTAGATTTTCCTCTTTCCTATTCATTTTCTTTCTCCCTTTCCTTACATTTTTTCGTTCTTTTCTCATTTTAAACATATTTTAATCACATTTTTAAATCTTTTTCTACTTATTTTTGTTTTTGTGAAGCACCTCATGATTTTCATCTTGAGAGGTGCTATATAAAAGATCTTCTTCTTCCAATCTACCTCACCTAGACCACAAAAGGTCCAGTCACTTTTATGGAGACTGGGTTTGGATTTTATATGTTGATAGCTGATAGTGTTAAGTAAGGCAAAGTAGGGCCGCTTTATTTATATAGAACATTTCACACACAGAAGCAATTCAATGTGTTTTCTAGGTGCAAGATCAGCAAGAACAAAGAAACGTTCAAATCAACGCGACGACATAAAACACAAGACTTTAAAATCAACATTTTAAAAGTACACAAATAAAATTAGATGTGAGAAATCAAATAAAAGGCAAAGTCAAGTGGTGAGCATTTACAGTACAGAAGGTGCAGCACAAGAAACAGTCATTCAAAGGCTGATGAATACATGAAGGTTTTCAGTTTTGATTCAAAGGTTTCTATAGTTGAGACATGTTTGAGGTTATAAGGAATCTGATTCCATCGGTGGCAGCTAAAAACAGCTTCAGTTTGGTTCTGACCCGAGATTCAACCAGCTGACTTTCTAAGGATCTCAGAGCCCTGCTGGGCGTATATACAATGAGATCCAAGATGTATTCTGGCCCCATGCCATATATAAACTAGCAGAAGTACTTTGAAATTGATTCTGTAGTTTACTGGTAACCAGTGTAGAGATTTAAGAACAGGAGTGATGTGCTTGGTTCTTGTTAAGACTCTAGCAGCAGCATTCTGAATAAGCTGCAGTTGCTTCACAGCTTTTTTTTTTTTGGTAAGACCAGTCAAAAGTCCAGCCTGCTGTAGATGAATGCATGAATGAGTTTTTTAAGATCTTGTCTGAACATGAGACCTGTTAAAACTCTAGTCTAGGTATAGCCTGAAAGCAGGGCTATTCAATTCCAGGCCTGAAGGGCCGATATCAGCACGCTTTTGTTGTTTCTCTTGTCCATCTGACACACTTGATTCCGTGGTTGATTCACCTCTGCAGCAGCTCATCAGGCTCTGCAGAAGCCTGTTAATCACCTGCTGATTGAAATCAGGTGTGTTGAAGCATGGTTGAAACTAAAATATGCTGGATTGCAGCCCTCGATGGACAAGGGTTCCCCACCCCTGCTTTAGATATTATAACAGTGATAGAGAAAAGTAGCATTTCATTAGGTCCACATTTGTCCCGGAAATATTCATGAGTCAAAACTTCCTGGAAATCTGGATCCAACATAAATCAGACAGAGGACACTGAGAACCGTTCAGTGGTGTCTGGGGGACCAGGGGATGGGAAGCTTGACATTGTTGTGATACGGGCCGGGAGGGGGCGAGGGGGAATTGTGGGGTGTGTGGAGGTGGATGATGAAGAGATGGGTCAGTGTGCCTCCTCCATCTTGTCCAGACAAGTCAGTGAAAGAGAGAGGGCGTCCATCAAGCTATCTGAAGATTGTAAGACCGAGGGAGGTTCTGAAAAATCGCAAAAGTGCAAAACCAATCTGTATTGCTTCAGGTCAATGTTTTTGATAATAATCGATGAAAAATAAAACATGCATCACTTGTCAGCAAAAAGTCTTTGTTGTTGTCAGAAGGTTGCAGAAGCACTGCAACAACGCAGCAGGATTTTCTTTTGATCTCAGAAGAAAAAGTCAGAATTCACTACGAAATCCTGACAAATAAACAAACAAACAAATAAATAAACAAGAGTTTCCTTTCTAATAACATGGAGCTGAATTTGGGAGATATTCATTTGCATGAAATTAGTTCCATCTGGGGACTTTACCTTGTGCCGCAGCGATGCAGCTAATAAGCACAGCAACTGTACTTTACATAATATACACTCCCCCAGGATTCTACTTCAGCTGATGCAGGCCAGTGGATGTGCTTTGATCCTGTGCAGAGTGAATATACGGAGGGAATGTCTAAAGATGAACCAGAAGGTTGGTTTTAAAAAAGTTGTCTCACACCTTTCTACTTCTCAGCCAACAACGTGTGTTTCTACGGCGAGTGTACGTACTACTGCTCTACTGAGCATGCTCTGTGTGGGAAACCAGACCAGATTGAAGGCTCTGTGGCGGCCTTCCTCCCAGACCTGGCCCTCGCCAAGCGCAAGACCTGGAAGAACCCATGGAGGCGCTCTTATCACAAACGCAAGAAGGCAGAGTAAGAGATGCTGCTGCATTCACTGACGCTCATTGAGTTTGTCTGATTTTCGAAATGTTTCTGTGTAAAAAGTTTTATTTTCTTAATGGTTACATTCAGACTGGCCTTTAGCCTATCAGTCCTGAAGGACATAAACACTATTTCCTGTAACTGAGGCTTTTCAGGATGCTATCTAGTATAGGTGAGAGAATAATTATCTATAGTATTTATGCAGAAACACGCCTCAGAATACCTCATAGTATATCTTTAATTGTAATTCATATACTAACAATAGATCTGAGATTTTTCTGCTTCAAAAAAATCATGTTAAAACAAAACAAAGGAGACAAAATAATACCACAATAAAGGTGAAATAGAGTCAGAAAGTAGGGAGGCAAAAGGAGAAGGAAGCTGGTGAATGTTGTTTTACTGAAGAGATGACATGAAATCTAATGAAAGTGTGACAAATCTCAGGTGGGAGGTGGACCCTGACTACTGCGAGGAGGTGAAGCAGACACCTCCGTATGACCGCGGGAGACGACTGCTGGACATCATGGACATGACCATCTTTGACTTCCTCATGGGTGTGTATAAGGCTTCACTATCCAGCGGCTCATTTATGTACTCTACAGTAATAAATATATTAATACAAATATGTTCCTTTGTTCTTTTTGTGTGTTTGCTCACAGGAAACATGGACCGTCACCATTATGAGACGTTTGAGAAATTTGGAAATGAGACCTTCGTCCTCCATCTGGACAACGGCAGAGGGTGAGCAGATCTGAGCCGCTTTAGATGGAACCTGAAGGGGGTGCTCTTGTTTCATTGTGCAGACAAACACACACCTCGTGTGCTGCTCCTATGAGCACAATGCCCCCACTGAATCAGTAATGCTAAGGTTGTTTTTTTAATGAACTCCACCATGCTTCTTCTTTTTTTTTAGATTTGGGAGACACTCTCATGATGAGATGTCCATCCTGGTGCCTCTGACTCAGTGCTGCAGGTACCTTCCTCTTTCTCGTGTATGGGCTGATGACAACTGTTTCCTGGCTACTTTGATCATTTACCTACTGAGGCCCAGAAATGCCGAGCGAAGAAAAGATTCCATCTTTCAGTTATTTTTAAAACACAGAAAAGGTTTATTTACCTGCAACGTTTCGTTTGCGGCTGCAAACTTCCTCAGGCCTGAGGAAGTTTGCAGCCGCAAACGAAACGTAGCGGGAAAACAGGTAAACAAAACTGCTCTGTGTTTTAAAAAGAACTACAGCATGGTATTAGAGATACGACACAGCAAGAATACACCTAAGATATTCAAAGTAGCTATAGTGTTGGATAACCATTTATTAGCCCCTTTAGGCAAAAATATCTGCCAAATACATAAAATAGTATAAATAGTATTATCTAGGGCTGGGACTTGATTAAAAATTTTAATCTAATTAATTACAGGCTTTGTAATTAATTAATCTCAATTAATCGCATTTTAATCGTTCAGGAAAATGTGCTCTCAAAGTAAAACTTTTAATTAAAATTTTGAGACAGAGAATCAAACATTAGACATGGTTATTACTGTAAACTAAAGCTTTTAATAAAAAAATGCATTTTAATTATTCAAATGTCACTGTGATATGAAACAAGACCCAAATCAACTAAAATTTATAATTACAAATAGAAGGTTCCTGAGCCTTTAAATAGTCTCTCTGTCTAGTTGAATTTGACTTTGCACCAGATTCTAATTTTTCCAGTTTCACTTGTTTGTATAATTGGGAGTTTTTATTAGCATTTCTACTCATAATGTAGTAAAAACACATAAATAATAATCCTTCAAAATGAGAGTAGAACAGGCACAAATATGATCTAGGACTTAATTGTACTAACTTTTAACACCAGAGCAGGCGTGGCATATTCTGAGAATGATCAGGAACACTAACTGGTTTCAGTTGGATGACTGGAGGTTGATGGGATGATAAAAGATCATGGCGAGGAAATAATGAGCTGACGAACAGGTGAGCGGACCTTCCTTACATGGGAAGTCCTGACGTTAAGAAGGGGATGCTGTGGACCTGCAGATTCACACCTGCAGCAGCGAATCTGGTGTGATCTCCAGCCTGATCACAACTTTCTCGTTCCTCGGTGCCCCTGATGCACTTAAGCATCCGCCCCTTAGCTGATGACAGCTTCAACACACCTGCTGCTTAATGATAGTAATGCATGTGATGTTTAGACGGAGACTCGTCTCAGAAACACAATACCCCAAAAGCATTGTTTAGCAAATCATCAGAAAAGTTTCCGAGTGTTTCTGTTTTAACTTAAACTTCTGTTTTCAACTGTAAGACACGTTGCTTGTGATTGTTTACAGAGTAGTGAGAACACGGAGCGTTCTCCCAGCGGCAGCCAGGTGCCTCTAGTTTGTCTGACTACTTTCATAAACTACTGTTAGGGCACAGAATTATTCTGTCTGGTGCTTTCAGCGCTGCACAGATGTTACGTAAATGTTAAAAATATAGCTTACCGCAACTTTTGTAAAGTTCCCGTTGCCACCGGGCAGCTGCAGCAGAGACGATCTCTGAAAAATGTCCGCGACACGGACTCCGTTGTTGTCTGGAAGTTTTTTTTCCCCCAAGTTAAGAAAAGAGGCGGACGTGTTTCCTAAATCCTGCATCAGTCCAAGCAAGGCAACTTCTTTCTGTTTTTATTACGTTTAGTAGCCATTAGCACTGTGCATTGTTGTATGCGTCAGTGATATTCAGTCTACGAGGAAGTCGTGCAATGACAAAGGTTCCGCCGTGCTTGAAATGCAAGCTGCGATTAAATGCGTTAATTTTTTTAAACGCGTTATTTTTTTCTAATTAATTAATCGTAATTAACGCGTTAAAGTCTCGGCCCTAGTATTATCTAAACCTGGCTGAGGCTTCTGTCTGTCTGTAAGCGCGCACACACACACACACACACACTTTATTTATATATATATAATAACTTAATAATGACTAGTTCAGACTTAGTAGTCGACAAATATGCATATTAATTGGCAGCTAATTAATGGTTAATTTGTGTTCCCTAAAGTGTTTCTATTTATTTATTTATTTTATTTTTTTATTTGTTCACTTATTCTCCTTCAAGGATACTTGAAAGTACAGATGTGAATTTTCTCACTACCAGACTGACTCAGTGTTTGTTGTTGTTTTCTTGCACTTCAAGGCTCAGGATTTATGCTTTTCTGGCTCTCCATAATCTTTTTTTTTTTCCCGTCTGGTCAGAAGTTATGAAATCCAAACTAAATAAAGATACAGTCAGACCTTTTCTCAGCTCTCTGCTTCCAGGGTTTTAATTATTAAATTAAACATTTAAAAGGTTTTTAGGTTCAGCCTTTTCTTTTTGTTTTCTTTAAAGCACAAATACAATCTAGTTCCTCATGTTTGTCTGCTCGGCTGTGTTTCTGCAGAGTGAGGAAGTCGACCCACCTGCGCCTGCAGCTGCTAGCGAAGGAGGAGTATAAGCTGTCTGTGCTGATGGCAGAGTCCATGGAGAGGGACCGCCTCACCCCCATCCTCATCCAGCCACACCTGGACGCCTTGGACCGACGGCTGCACCTGGTCAGGGCTTCACTCTCTATCTCCTCTTGTAGTTTTGGTGTTTGGAAAAAAAAACAGGGAAAGGTTGAAAAGTTGTTGTTTGAAAAAATAAATAAACAAAACTTTTTACCCCTCCCACTATCTTTGTGGGTGACGACACACGTGAGGTCCACGTGGCAGGGGTGAGGTGGTGCTCACTCCTCACCCCTGCCACATGGACCCAAGGGATAAACCATCAACCCTGCTCACCCGTTAGGACAGAGGGAGGGTTACATAATATTTTATTGTTGTCACCAAAATAAAATAAACTTTACTTTTTTGGGTATGTTCTAATCATTCAAGTCAGTCAGGATTAAAATAGAACATGTGGGGAAAATATAAAAATATTACTAATATAATAGCTAGTTTTAATTTAAACATTTCCACATGTTTTATTTATTGAAAGCTTTTTACCGGCTAGTGCACGCGTCAGTGAGATAGTGTTCCTCTAAAATAATGTAAAAAATAATTTTGTTGACTTGAGCTCAAACTTGTCCAAACGGGAAGAAACCAGTCGAAGAAATCAGAACTACCATTTAACAAATCTCAGCAGACGTAAAAATAATTCATATATTTATCTGGAATCTGATGATAGGGCCACATTTAAGATCACCTATTTTTAGTAAAAGGAAGTTAGAACCATAATGAATTTGGACAAACCACCAGTTCTTTCATCATTAACCGGGACTTGTCTTTGTGTCTCCAGACTTTGAATGTTCTGTCTGAGTGCATCGAGAAGGAGGGTTACAGCTCCGTGGTGGAGGACGACCTCCAGGAGAACCCAGAAACAGACCACGCCCACACCGGCTCCAGGCAGAGGTAGCCAGGGGGCGTGGCTGACTGCAGGACGGACGCTGGACCCATCTGATCTGGACTCTAAAACGGACAAAGATCTGTGCTGAACTTCTTTGACCACCCAGCGCTGAGGTGGAAGCCCTCCTGCAGAAGTGGGTGCAGGACAAACTGTGCAGTGATCCAGCTGCACTTTGTATCACCTAGACTCCTTAAAGTGCACAACCCTGGGTGTAGAGTAGGATAGCATCACCTCGGAGGACCCGGCTCAAACAGTTAAAGTCTTGTAAGAGACGTCTTCTCGGTTAAGGACCCTTTTGTTTGAATTCAGTGAATTCTGAGGGCCTTGAGTCTCCTCCTGATCAGAATTCTGTGTTTCTACTTATCGTTAGCGATGCAAGTGTTCTGGCTGAGTGTTCACTGGAGAGGAGAACATGTTTCCTTCCCCTAAACTTCCTGTTGCATTATTTTTTTTTTCTTTGTTTGTTTCTGCTGAGCTGTTTCAGCTCATGTTCGGTTTTGTCAGAAGGATGTTTTTGATCGGAGTACAGGTTTACTCCTCCTTAATTATTTTCCCTGAGAATATTTATTAAAAATCCTATTTATTATTTGAAATGAGTGCTAATAATGAGAAAATTGTTTTAATCAAACAGCTGTACTTCCTGATTTCTCCACAAGAGGGCAAACTGAGCATGTGCAGACATCTCGGCCCTTTAAAAACAACCTAACCTGTAATAATAATCATAATAATAATAATAATTTAAAAAACAATGAATGGCCTCAACAATCACCACTTCCTGTTTTCATGTTCCCTTCAGTGCAACAGAACCGAGGTACCAAAAAGCCAAATGTGACACTAATTATTTTCTATTTTTCTTGCTTTCTAATGTATTTGATGTCCAAATGTTGCTGTTGTGGAGAGATTTATTTTTTAGGATGTATAATTCATTCATCTGCTCAGCTGCTGATGATTCAGTGACTGGCTGAAAGTTAATATATACAGTAGAAAAATCTAGTGCCTGTGCAATGATAGAAATACTTGAATGTCTGGTTTCATAGCGGAAAAGGGTGCAAGCTAAGCTGTAGATTTAAAGATGTCTCTGTATGTGTACGTGCTGACTCATGGGGTTTCTAACTGTAGTCCTGTCTGTGTCAGGGCAGTCACGGATGTGTGGGTGAATCCATGCACAACCAAAAGGCTTCTTCTTCCTTTGGGCTTATTTTACTTTCTTTTGATTATTCGACTCATTCTTTCTGTGGGTTTGAAGTTTTTATTTCTTTGAATCATGGTAATCGTGCAATAAAACTAAATAATCAGCAGCTCATGTGTCCCTGTCCCCCTGATTTATCTATTTATCTACATAGTTTAAAATTTGTTAAAGATTGGATGAAATATGTTTAATGTAGCTTTATGAATCAGCAATATCTGAGTACAGAAAATGTTGATAATGTCATTTTTAAGAAATGCTCAAGACCTTGCGTCTCGTGCTGGTGTAAACCTCGGGTGATGGAGGCTACTCGTGCAGACACGAGTTAGGACGATGCTGGAACCGGAAAAAGGCCGATCAGATCAGTGCAGGAGTGTGTTTACAGTTCTCAGCGCTCTGTTGTGTTTTCATAACCTTTCCCCACAGAACAGCCCCCGGAAAAAGCTCCTCGGCTGGTTTACATAAACAAACACACACACACACACACACACACACACACAGGCAGACAGGGCAATGGATGGAGGAAGTGGTGTTTGAGACAACCATCAGAGGGGACCGAGAGGGACCAGAGGACAGGCTGGGGACGGTAATCGCCGTGGTCAGCCGCAGACGGGACACCAGAGGAAGCCTCGTCATGGGAGCAAGCTGCGAGGTGCTTATCAGATCTCTCTTCATGCTGACCTGATAAAACGACCCAGCTCAGCCTCCCTCTGCTGCTCCAGGTTGCAGCTTGGTTTTCTCTTACTTAGGGACAAGCAGTGCACCTGAATGAGCTCATTTAATACCTCAGGAGGGAGGACAGGGTTAAAGTCAGGAGAATTTTGTTATCTAAAGTTACTATCAGAAATGTATTTCATTAGATACACAATTCAGAGCTGATTGAAGTGAAGCTGAAACCAAGAATAAGGTGAAACCCTCCGTTTCCTCTCCATAGTAGCCTTGTTATGTGAACATCCCATCTTTCCTTATCAAAAGCACAGGTGAGTAGTTCTCCCAGCAGGTCAATTCTCATTACTGACCACTGTCTAAAGGTGAACTCAGACCAGTGCAACATGGCTGCTGCAGCACAAACCTGTCCAAGCATGACAGATGTTGATGTGCATGAGTTCATCTATGACTGATTCATCCTGATGTGTGATGAAACTCAAACGAATCACCAGAAACAAGGAATGAATCAGTCCGCAGCCGAATTTGTCAAAGTCCTAGTTTAATAAATATTGACGTGATTTATTTAATTTGCTGTATAAATCTTTTGTTTAAGGACTGAAGTTTTGTTTTTTGACATGATCAGACTCAAATGAGGGATTTTTGTTTTTTGTAGAAATTAGACAAACTCTTTAGCTTTGACTTCCCGATGCAGATGAACCTACTTGTTACTGACTTATATCATCTCCAGTCATGTAAATAATTCCTTATTTTAAGTGTAACCTGTTACAGAATTAGCTGTGCCTACACCGATTTCTCCTGTTTATGTTTGTTTTGAGTCTGGGCTGGTTTAGGTGGGCCGGTGTGTACAGAGTGAAAAAGTCTAAAGTGACTTTAGATTAAATTGGAGCTCTCCAAAGAGCTCCAATTTAAAAAGAGCTATTTCGAAGAGCTATAATTATATATATATATATATATATATGTGTGTGTGTGTGTGTGTGTGTGTGTGTGTGTGTGTGTGTGTGTGTGTGTGTGTGTCTTTTTGCTCCTTTTTTAAAATAATTTTTCATGAATCTTTGAAAAACAAACCACATATTTAATTTTTTATTGGCTGCTATGCTCAGTCAGGACCAGCGTGCAGCATTAGCACCACCAGGGCCACACACGCCGCTCCGACAGACCCCGGGCTGTTTTCCTGGACTCTGTGTGCTCTTGGGAGACCTCTGATTGGTCCGTTATGAGCCCTACAAAATACACATCCCCCAATTTTATAGACACGGAAACAATTTGTGACCATTATGGAGCATTATAGATAGCATCTACAAAACTTCCCGTTGTTGACTAAAGGTCTGCCAGAGTGGACACACACACACACACACACACACACACACACACACACACACACACACACACACACACTAAAGAGCTAACAGAGAGAAAAAGAAAACAAATATGTAAAAGGATTGTGTTTATTGATCTGGAGCTGGCTGTGCTTAGAGAGATTAGGCTATAAATAGGAGCAAAAATAAAACATAAAGGCTGCCTGTGAGTCTGGTGGACCACCCAGGATCCTGGGGTGGGGGGTTCTGTTTGTCACTTGTTCTGGATGCAGCTGATCAACCTGCTGCTGTGAAAAGTATTGTTGAACAACTGGGTTTCAATCATGCTGCTTGTCTCCAAAACCTTTAGTGAGTCTGACATTTCACCTGTCATCACTTCTGATCTAGGACCTCACAGGTCACCGTAGTCTTCTCCACAATAACGTGTGAAAGTCAAAAGTCCCGTTAGTCATCGTCACACGAGGGTGAAATTACATTTCTGCATTTGACCCAACCCCGTGGGGAGAGGTGAGCCGCAGCTGTGGTTGCAGTCGGGAACTCTTTGGTGGCTTAACCCCCTCAATCCAACGCCTTACAGCTGAGTGTCAAGCACGGAGGCGTTGGGTCCAATTTTTAACGTCTTGGTATGATCCGGCCGGGACTTGACCCCCTGATCTCCCAGTCCCAGGGCGGACTCTCTAGTCACTGAGACGGTGAAACCTCTTCAGTAAACAGAAGAGGAGCAGTTGCCTTCTCTTGCGTTAATTTGGAGGCCTTACTAAACACTTCCTTTAACCTGACAAAGTGTTAATGAAATTGTCCTTTAGTTTTCATTAATGAGGTGGATCATTCCTGTTTGTCCTCTTTGCTTGGAGGCGTGTAAATCCTCCCTCAACCCAGAAAGCTCCTCTGTGGTTGGACTAAAACATGTTTACTTCTTGGACTCTTTTGCATCAGAATGAACCCAAACAGTACGCTGGACCTCGACAGAGCCAGCATTTCCAACCAATGAGAGGTGACCTGGCCTTTGAAGGGAACATAATCAGATTCATCTGAAACTTATGGAGTCATTTCCACATCATTTCTGATGTTTAATCAACGAGTCACACCAGTTTTTATGTTTAAACACTAAATCTGCAGCTTTACAAAATAAAGTTATAAAAGTAGGTTTCGGGGAATTGCTATAATCTGACTGGCACAGATTTGATGAACCAAAGGGCTGACAAGGCAGCAAAAATAAGCAGCAACACGGTTAACTGTAAAACATTTTAGATCGATCAGGAACATATGGAGGAACTGGAGAAACCAAGGACTAGCTGTACAGGCAGAGGTCTGGTGGAACACAGGTGTGTGATGAGCAGAGCAGCAAGGGGGCTGAGTGGGAAACTGAATAAACAAAAACATAAAACTGTCACATAAGAAAAGGGTCTAATGTAAGGCATGTAAAAAAAAAGATTTGATTAACTTGATTTAATTGAGAAGACTTCTCAATGACTATTTAATGAGGATGATAAATAATGCTCTAAAAGCTGCTGTTCACCTTTCCAGGTGTGGTGGGCAGTGTTTTCTAACTGGTCTCAGGCTGACCAGCATCAGACTCACTTCTCCAGAGGTTATTATAAAGCAGAAGCAGAACAACACACCGCCCACCATTCACCTTTCTTCAGGCAGAAGATCGAGCTGTGAGCTGGTAACTTATATCCAGGTGACACCAGAAGCTTTGGAGCAGGCTGCCTACAGGACAATGGGATCATCCCAGCTCCCGCCAGGGTACTCTGCTGTTGTGCTCTTGGCATGGACGTTGTTTTGACTTTTGAAGTAGGGGGTATTGTTACAGTAAGTATACAAGAAGTATATAAAAAACTACAGCCTAGAGGCTCTTTTATGCAGTGTCAGGAATGCAGAACTGTCAAGTACACAGGTGGCAGGAACGGCCAATCACACGTTAACACTGGGACATAATTTTGGGGGGGGACGGGTGGGACATGTCCCCCCCCCCACTTTTTCAAAAGGCAGTTTTGGTCCCCTGCACTTTTTTCCGTCCAAAAACAATGTTACGCTCCATTAAATGGATTTGGTTGAGCACTAGGACCGAAACGGAAACCGGTTTCCTATTAGACCCGCCCAAAAGCTAATCTATTGGCTCTGCTGATACTTGCTAACGTATTATTGGCTGTTGCTGCTGTCACTCAAGTTGTAAACAGTCAGAACGTCGCCGCCACGGTGGGCCAGCGATCGGCTCGAGGTTATCTAGAGTCACCAAAGCAACCGTATATGTACAGTCTATGGTTTGGAGCCGCTAGGGAACACCGGTACTGAGTCACATCGTCAACTAGACGCTGTGTAATATCAGAGCTCAGCTCAGCTTCCATTACATAACATTTGAATAAGTGTTCATTTGTGAGTCTTTGGTAGTTAGACACAGCCAGGAGGCAGCATGTCAAGAAAACGAAAAGTGGATATAAGAGACTTCTTTCAAAGTCAAAACGTAAGTTGGAACATGTGACACCCCTGCATTAAGCTCACTCACCTCCTCCTTCACAAACATACTCAAAACTAACTTTTACAAACTCATCTCCTCCACATAACTGACTCCTCAGACACAATTTATTCGTATTATTATAATAATTATTTTTTTATTATTACTATTATCATCATAATTATTATTACTAGTAGTAGTAGAAGTGTAACTTCAAAACTTTTATCATTTAACTTTATTGTAAACTTATCTATTGCAATGTATATTTTCACATTAAAAAGCTCTGAAAAATGAACAGTATCATCGTCAACAGATTTTTTTAAGCTTAATGTCAAAGATGTACACTTTTCATTAGATTTATCTTATTTTTTCCATTTATTTTTTGTGTGTTGAAATGCAACAACTGTTTAAACACTTTTAAGGGAAAAACATATTTAATATGTTTTTATACACTCAAATGTTAGGGTGATGATCATGTGTAAAACATTAGTTCAGCATGTCCTCTAACACAGCAAATGAACAAACGGCCAGATCTCAGGAGGGACCGTTTATGTATAAATAACTTTTATACTTTTGACTAGGCCTGGGAATGTAACACATTTTGCTGGACGATATTTTGTCCAACAAATTGTTGATGATAAGCGATATTGTGTACATTATCTAGACCAAAATAACCACTAATATAATGTTAATATATCATAATAATGCAAGTACACCCTTTAAAATGCAACAAATAAACCTTCATTTAACATTGAAATGTCCAGAACCAGAACTTCTAAATGAATAAAAATAACAAACAAAAATTGAATAAAAAAAGAATCTCACTCCCTGTTAGAAAATGTTGCACCAAAAACAATAAAAAAGACCCAAAACAATAAATACAATGGCCTATCCATTGTCAACAGCCAAAACTGCACTTCAATAATGATAATAAATAAAAATAATAATAGAGTTGTACATTTTTTAACTTTGATATATATATATATATATATATAGAGGATGGAAAAATTATTGAGATGGGCACGTGACGTGTCAAGGGGTCTTTACATAACACCCCCCACCCCAAATCCGCACAAGCCTGCTGTGTCCCCCCCACTTCTGAAATCAAAATTTCGTCCCTGCGTTAACAAGTTTCAGCAGAGCCAATAGAAGAGCTTATGGACGGTTCTAATGAGAAACAGGCTTCAACGCAAGCGGATGTTTTCCGCTCAATCCTAGTGCTCAAACTGTGTCTTTTTAATATACATATACATATATATAAAGTGCAGGGTACAAAAATTGTCTTTGGAAAAAAAAGCCCCCCCCCCCAAAAAAATACTACGTCCATGGCCCTTGGGCAAGACACTGGTGGTCGGAGGGGCCGATGGCAAAAATGGCAGCCCAGCCTCTGTCAGACCGCCCTGGCAGTGTGTGTGTGTGTGTGTGTGTGTGTGTGTGTGTGTGTGTGTGTGTGTGTGTGTGTGTGTGTGTGTGTGTGTGTGTGTGTGTGTTTGTGTGTGTGTGTGTGTGTGTGTGTGTGTGTGTGTGTGTGTGTGTGTGTGTGTGTGTGTGTGTGTGTGTGTGTGTGTGTGATGAATGGTGCTTCGGGTGCCTAGAAAAACATTACATAAACCTAATCCATTATTATTATTATTAATAATAATAATATCATTTTATTATATTATTATTTTCATTATTATTTTCATTATCATTATTATTATTATTATTATTTATAGACTATTTGTTGTATCTGCTTTGTAATTTATTTGTGGAGGGATGGAATAAAGATGGTTGTTTTCAAAACACACACACACACACACACACACACACACACACACACACACACACAAACAGTACTTTGTGGTATCCTATCAAATAAGTGGAGTTTTAACCTAAACAGCTGTAATCAACTCAAATTGAAAAGGTTTAGATTTATTAACAAAAACATTTAATATTTCTACTGACTGTGAACTAAATTCGATTCTTTGCAGTCATCTCTTTTCAAGAAGAGGAAGAAGAAACAATTTTTACATAAAATGATAAAAATAACGAAGCACTTCACAAGAAAAATATTGAAATTTAAAAAATATATATAGTGAAAAAAATTATAATAAAAATGGAGAAAAATAGAACAATTTTTATTTAAAAATGTGAAGGAAGACAGAAAAGAACAAGAAAAGGTCATAGGGGAAGAAGGTCACACAAAAGCCAGCCTGAACAGATGAGTTTTCAGTTACTTTTTAAAGATATTCCTCATTAAAAATTATGTTTACCTTTTTTTTAAGTAGTGATGTGAGTTTGTGGCTCCAGAGAGAGCATCTGAAAGCTGATAACTGTCTCCGAATGAGGCCGACTTCACTCTGGAATTCAGGGGACGTGGTTTTAGCAAACAAAGGTGTAGAGAAAAGGACAAAGGGGTCATTTAAAATCATCAGTTCAAAGTTTGTCCAGGCACCTAAAAGATCTATTTTATTTTCCAGATGTAGGATTCTGCTCAGACAGCACATTTAGCAACCTTTTCCAGCAAAAGTGGATTTTTATTAATGATTTAATGACCAAAAACAGCCTAAAAGCAAAGATTCCTGATGTTTACGTGAATCTCGAGACCTCAGCATCGTGACACAGTTACAGACTTCAGAGTGAGGTCGGGACGAGGAGGTGGGAGAAGGGGGACGTGAAGGGGGGAGGTTGGAGGCAGCCGTCATCAGCAGAGATCCTGGTTTGAGCAGATCGTGGTGACAAAGCGCAGCTGCAGCTGCTGCTGGACTCGGGCCGGGACGCTCAGAGCAGCCCAGAAGTTCAGATCAGCCTCCTGAAGGTGAAAAATGTTTGATAACTCTCATTATCCCTTCAACTGCTTCAACTACGATGGGGACGGATACCCATCAGCTAGCACGGATGAGGAGAAAAAGATGTGCAGACCTGCATACAGGTAGGTGAGATCAGCCTTCTGCTCAGACGTTTCTTCAGTCAGGTTTTCAGAAGCTCATTTAATCTGGCAAAGACTAAATCCACATTTCTACCAGCATGGCCCAGTTAGGATCATTTGTTTCCTTTTATTATTGAGTTAAACACGTTCAAAAAATCCTTTTTACGATTTATAACCCTGAAAGTCATTTTAATGTTGAAACAAATACGTGTTTTTGTGTTTGTAAATTAGAGTTCTTAAAACATAATAATCATAAACTTTTACACAAGTCATACATTCTCTGTTTTTACTATCTATAGAAATTAAATTACTGAATATGGGAATCCTGTCTTTAACATCATGTTTTGATTAAATTAAAATTCGACATTAATTTAAATATCATATTGAGCCACAAAATCTAGACTTTTATGTGGAAAGTTTCCTTTTCTCTTGTATTTAAGAGGCTTTTATTAGTTATTAGTTATAAAACTTGGTGGATTTATTATTCTTCAGAGAGTATAAACACTTTACAAATATTTACAACTAAACATGATTAATAAACGTTGTTAAAGAAGCTAAAGACGAGTCTGTAAGACATTATTTCATATCAGGATGAGCTTTGTTCTGAAACGTTCTTTTTGCTGCATTTCCTCCTCTGTGTGTCAGCTACATCGCCCTGATCGCCATGGCGATCCAGCGGAGCCCAGAGCAGCGGGTCACTCTGTCGGGTATCTACGAGTTCATCATGAAGAGGTTCCCCTACTACCGCTCCAACCAGCGGGCCTGGCAGAACTCCATCAGACACAACCTGTCCCTCAACAGCTGCTTCATCAAGGTAAAGGCTCACGCCGCTGCAGGAACACACATCAGCGCAGCTTCAGGTTTTAATTACACGTTTCAGAACAACGTTCTTTTTTTATTTGTTTGCATTCTCCCATCATTGTCTTCTAAGAACTATAAAACTGAAGATATTTGGTTATTCCTCATTAAACATTTGTAATAATAATAATAGTTATTCTTATATTGTTATTATGATTGTTATGATTTTCTGATTGTATTCTCGCAGGTGCCCCGGACAGAGGGAAATGAGAAGGGGAAAGGGAACTACTGGACTTTTGCCACAGGTTGTGAATCCATGCTCGACCTGTTTGAAAACGGCAACTTTCGCCGACGCAGACGTCGGAGGAATATGAAAATTGGCCTCCGTGATTCAGGGGAGACCTCTTTTCATCCAGCGGAGAGCCACAGCAATCAACCAGTGACCTCGACTCCCTGCCCTGAACTTGACTCCGCCCTCTGCCGCTTGACCCCTGAGAGGTCAGGGTCCAGTCCCCAGCAAAACTACCTTGTCCATAACTCGAGCCAGCAGGTGAAACCAGAATCAGAGATCAAGTTTAGCATCGACTACATCCTATCGACCCCTGACCCGCCTCTGTCTGGAACCAGACCGTCTCACGGCCCGGTTCATTTGGTACCGGCTGGGCTGCCGGTTCACCTCCAGGAGCAACAACACCTGAACCTGCATTTCTGGACTCTCTAAAAAAGATGGATAATCATAACTGAACTTCCTCATGAGGGTCTTGGATCAAACCACGGAAGCTGAGGAGATAAAAGAACAACAATGGAATCAGAGCCTGACTGAAGGAGCAAGTACAGCCCCGTTACTGGATCAGAGATGGAAAACATTGGTAAAGAGAGAAAACATCCCATAATTCATCCAAAAGATGAAAAGCGACCCCCCCCCCCCCCAAAAAAAAAAAAAACAATAAGAAAAGCTGTATGTTGTTATAAACCTTTGTGAAACGTAGTGCTGACTTATTTAAAGAGCAAGTCACCCCCAAATCAACTATTTTTTTCTGATAAACTATATAAATGTGTGTCTAATCGTGCTGCAGACACGTGTAGTCAATAGTTTAGCACTTTAGTGCATTTTAGTTAAAATTTAAATTTTCTGCCTGAAACTGTCAGTGTTGTGCTGTTGTCAGGTAAAAACTCTTCACTGCATTTGAGTTTAAATCTGCCACCGCTATTGGCTAAGAGGTATGCTATGATGTAAACTGGTACATTATGATGTCACAATGTCGTGAGTGTGTGTATTCGTTAGTGGCTCCACCCTCTCGGTCTGCTAGGCAACAGCATTTGTTGTATTTTTCAAACATGAGGTGGGAGTGAAGTACGCATCTTGTTAGGGGTGACTTGCTCTTTAAACTATACGGGAAATGTATTCACACAGAAACTGTGATGTTCAATTTAACTGAATTTATGTGTCAAAATGCTTTAAAAATCTGACCAAGCACAAGAAACTTTGGGTTCAATTATTGAAATTTCAGAGTAACGTATTTCAAATTGTCACGAGCTTTGGGTAGTGACCGAAAGGACGAGATTGCGGATACAAGCGGCCATCCGGGAGGGGCTCGGAGTAGATTTGCTGCTCCTCCACATTGAGAGAAGCCAGTTGAGGTGGCTCGGGCCTCTGGTCAGGATGCCTCCTGGACGCTTTCCTGGTGAGATTTTCCTGGCACGTCCAACTGGGAGGAGACCCAAAGGAAGACCCAGGACACGCTGGAGAGACTATGGGTGTTTCTCAATGTCAAGGAACCTTTCCTTGATGTCTTGGCCCCGCCCCGGTTGCCTAGGAGATACGTCATCAGCAGCCGCCAAGAGGTATTCCAATCGGTCCAATGTTCATGTTCTACCGAGGCATGTGTTCTCCGTTTGTTATCCGTTTAGCTAGCTGAGCAAGGACACACGGGAGGTGTCTTGTAGCCTAGCTTTGGCCAAAAATTACCCCCAATACACTGCAGTATTTTCAAAAGGACGGCGGATCAGAAGCCGGCAGCCACTTCAGGTACAAATTTCAAGTTTAAAAGTAAGTCAACTAATTTACAATGTTTTTTTAGATCCAAAGAAGTTATCCATGGTTGGTTAGTTGCTTATTAGTTGCAGCTTCGGTGGCTAGCCGGTAGTAACTCGCTTATATTTTTAATTTAACAAACATATACACAATTTAAAAATTAAAAGGCTCATTATATATTTATATTGAAACTATTACATATAAAATATAGCGTTATCTCCTGTGTCACGTGACGTTATGTGACCGCCGTGGAAGCCGCGGTCATGTGATGCAAGTCTGCTCCATTTAACTGTTTTCTTTGACCAAGGGAGGACAGTGTCCTCGTAAGTAAGGCGCCTGGCCTCGCAAGACATCGCCTCGCAAGGCCAGGTACCTTGACATTGAGAAACACCCTGTGTCTCTCAACTGGCCAGGGAACACCTTGGGATTCCCCCGGAGGAGCTGCCCAAGTGGCTGTTGAGAGGAAAGTCTGGGCTTCTTGGCTTAGACTGATGCCCACATGACCCGACTCTGGATAAGTTGCTGAAAATAGATTAATAGAAATTTCAAATTATTTATAATTTTCTACCATAATGTCAATTATAATTTAGTCCATTATTTTAATTGTTTCAAGCATCTTATAGCTTCAAAGGTCAAAATATTTTACCTTAACGTGGTTAATTAGTTGTCAAAATCTGGGAATGCTCATGTGTTTTATAAGCTGAAATGAGTTTCAATTTACTCTACACACACACACACACACACACACACACACACACGCACGCTCGTGCGCACACACACAAAGGAAAAATAGCTAAAATGGTAAAAATTGTGTATTTTCATGGAAAATCTGCAAACATAAAGAAATTAAACCACAGTCAAATTTGAAAATGCGTTAATAACCCCAAAGGAAAATGAAGTTATGCTGCAATTCTTTCTTTCATGCAAAAATAATAACTTCAAATAAATATTCATAAATCATCTTCAAACTGATCAGGTTTCGGGTTTTGTGATTTTAGAAAACATTCGTTCAGCAGCAACATTAACTAAATTACCCAATTTTACAGGAGAAAAAAAAAAGATCAAGATAATAAATTTGTTTCTATTTGGCTGCTTGTGATCTGAAGGTGTGTTGTCTGTCTGTTAGCTCATTCTGGGCTGAAATCCTATAAGAAACGACCATTAAATGCTATTCATGTGCCTGGAAATGTAAACAGCAACTGACATCTTTATTTATGTGATTCACAAGTTGTTGGTCAGATAATTCAAGCAGAAGCACATTACACACACATATTCATAAAAAGCTCTATTTAGCACAATAACACTAAAAACTAGCATCATGTTTACACAAAGTATTAAATTAAATTAAATTAAATAATTAAATTAAATTAAATTAAATTAAACAACTTATGGATTTTGCGAAATCAGAAACATAACGGTAAGAAGAAAAAATTATAAAAGTAAAAGTGATTTACAATGTTAAACTATTAAAATTAATTTAAATTATTATATGTTTAAATACAAAATAAAATAATAATAATAATTATTATTATTATTATATTAATATTATATTAATAATAGTAAGAATAAGAATAAGAATGAGAATATGAATAAGAATAGCTATGTCCTTTGCAGATGTAAAAAACACCTCAGTGAAACGGAGCTGATCTGCTCAGCTCCAGCCCACATTTAGCTAATTCTTTATTGACCTTTTGGGTCCTGATTGACTGACACTTAAATTCTAATGCATCCACTTCTTATTACAGCCTTTTGTATGAAGTCACTTAAAGGAGGCCTAACGAAACAGAGGTCTGGGTAACATTTCTTTTCTGTACAAGAGAGATCAATCATGGCATGTTGAAGGGACATTTTTCAATTTAACCTTTATATTATGTCTTGCCTACATGAGAGGAAGGTTTCAACACACTTAACATGAGTGGCATTTAATATAGCAAAACACTTGCAAGGTGAGGCCTGGGAGTGACCCTATTTAAATACCACGGCCCCTTCCTCCAGCTTGAAACGCAACAGCCCTCCCCCCACCGGCACGTGCACAAACCCCTGACGCAGTTATAATTAAACACACCTTATGCCTCCTTTGCAAATGCCCCTCATCGATCTGCGAGTTTTTAACATTCACGTGCGAGCTGCCCCCCAGCAAATGTCTGCGTTGGCACTGGCGTTTATGGATCAGCAAGTTTCCATTAACAAAGTTGTTGACGTTGAGGAGCCGGGGCCGCCACCGCCATGATGCCGCAGATATATTTGGATAAATTAACTTAGCATAAAGTGCTTGGAGGCTACAGGAGGAGGCTAAACAGAACGCAGGAGCACCAGGCAGACCCGAAAAGTCAATGCACATATTACATTATCAGTGAATATATAAAAGTGTTGCTACCGGCAGCATGTCTGAATAAGCGGCCTCTATTAAATACCCACTGATTATCTTTGGTTTCACCCTTTCTTCTGTCATAGAACAGTTGGAGCCATTTTTACCAGTAATTACTTCCACAGACTTCTCCATCTACATAGCAGCAGATCTTTTGTTGGTAAAATTAGCAGCTAAAGGCAAGAAACGGTTGAATTAAAGGTGCAGGAAATTGGGAAAACTGCTGATGTGCAACATTATTAACAAGTAAATCATAAACACAAATAGGTCGTTTGATCTGGAGGATTTGTTTCTTGGCTGTGGTGAGAACTATGGAAACAAAGACAAATATTAGCATCCTGTTTTAATTTAGACCGAAACTCTTCTTTAAGCAGCAGCTGAGGAAAACATGGCTGCATCGACTGCTTCCAGCTGATAAGCATCCTAATAGCCTGGGGTCACACACACATCTCTGCCCTTACCTGATCCCAGGTGTGCTGCTAATGGAGCCTGTGTGTAATCTGAATATAGTGGGACCAGACATGTTAACGTTCCAGCTGATAAGCGCCAATGCCAGAAATATTTCTGAACATATTTTTAAATTAAAAACAATAATAAAGGACAAGTGTGGTTTTAAAATGAAAACATTATGACTGAGTATTAGGGCCACTTGGAGGATGGGGGTGTTAGGATTCAACTAAAAAAAAACAAAAGAGATGTTCTAAATAAAAATTCTACATTCCAGTTCCAGGATAAAGTCTAAACTCGTCCTGTAAAAACACCATCTACACAAGGCATTATGGGTATTGTAGGTCTGTGCTCCTTTAGTCTACATCATACAGGTGGGGCACAAAAGCTTAGTCAGCCACCAATCATGCAATTTCTCCCTCTTAAAAAGATCAGCGAGGCCTGTGACTGTCATAGGTTTACATCAACTAGAAACAAAATGAGAAATAAAAATCTGGAAAATCACGTTGTCTGATTTTTTTATTTATTAATTTGCAAATTAATGAGGAAAATAAGAATCTGATCTCCTACAAACAAGCAACATTGCTGGCTCTCACAGACCTGTAACTTCTTGTGAAAGACGCTCCTCTGTCCTCCAGGTCAAATGGTGGAGAGTCCCAGATTCAAACCCAGTGGGAGTGAATCTGGGACTTTCCACCACTCTCCATGACCTTAGAACTGAAGAAGCCTCTCGGATGAGAGGTGAAACGTCTTCAAGCAACTCAAAGAAGTCCAGACGCTTTTCTTTCAAAGTTCCTTAGACTACAATGACCTGGATGACTGAGAACCTTCACAGAAATTCCAGATAGGTGTGCGTCTGCATGGTATTAGTGAAGACTCTGTCATTTTTAGATACTCCCACTGTCAGAGAGGTGCTGATATTAATACTTTTGAAGCCTTCATGTTTTCTTATGCTTGAGCTAATAAATGGTAAGTCTGAAAGCTCAATCGTATTGAAGAGTGTCTGTTCTATATCTAACCAGGACTCATCTAGTGGGTTATCTTGCAACCATCTTGGTAAATATTGCAGCCTGTTGGCTAAGAAATAATAATAAAAGTTGGGTAGATCCAGTCCTCTGTCTTTGGTCTTCAGAAGTGTTTTTAAGCTAATTCGTGGAGGTTTATCCTGCCTAAGGAATTTAGTGATGGAGAAGTCCTGAGCTGTAAACCAGTCAGCTGGTGGCTGCACTTAGACACTGAGGGCTGTGGGTGCAAGTGGGGTAGTGTGGTGGCATCAGCTGGCGTAGGCCAGACGATGCCCGCATTGCCCGCTCACCACAGCCATGGAATACACCTCATCAACATGCACTAACACTATATTAGAGCAGGCGGAGGGAGACTAGGGGTCTTAGCACACCTCTGTTGTCACTTGGCTTCCTGGGGCTGGAGGCTAGGAGGGGGATTTGGCCATCCGGTTGGGGTCTGGGGTGGTGGGTTGCTTTGCTCAGCATTGGGCGGGGGAGCCTGCTCATCAGCACTCCAGCAGAAAGGGTCAAACTCTAGGAACCAGTAATGGTTGTACCCCATGTGCAGCAGTACCGGGACCAGAGTGAATAGGGTGTGTATGGGGAGCATGAGTGGGTGTCCGGCGTGCATTTTTGTAAGTCTTTGGTTGTATGTTCATGTGTGAGCATGAGGGAGGGAGTGTGTGACTATGTTTGTGTATGACTGTATATGTCAGGTGGTGCCTTTGACTCCTCCCTTCTCCTGGGACTTCTTTTGATGCTATACATCTTTGTCTCCCCTCCCCCTGCCACACCTGGTGTGGAGTGTGGTGCCTTGGTCTGCCTGAGTGTTCGTGCCTCCTGGGTCAGGGAGTTTAAGATTTTTGGCGTCTGCTTGATTAATCCCGGTTGCTGCCTGGTGGGATATGTGTCCCTGGGCTCTGCAGGGTCCCCGGCGGGGGTGGTCGCCCCTGGGTCCCGGGCTCGGCCAGCTGGGGGGTAGGAGGCTGCGGGCGGGCCTGTGGGCTTGCCGCTGCTATCTCCCAGGACTCTGCCGGCTGCTGGTTGTGGCCCCCCGAGGCAATCCTCTGCACCTCCCGAGGGGGGCTGTGGCTTTGCTGGTCGCGGTCTCCTTGGGGTCCCTGTGCTCTGGGGCGGCTCCTGGATCTCTGGGACTTGGAGCTCCCTCCATCTCTTATGCATCTTTGGGGGGCTGATCTGTGGCCCCTCACACTCCCTATTGGATGCTCCTATAGATAAACCTTACATATACAAGCGCATGTACACACACAGGTGCTCACACGGTGCTCTCATAAGTATGGACTTGGGGACATTCAACAACTGTCTTAAGGCTGTGGCTGGCACTAAATGCACTATGATTTATTATCGTGTGATTGTTCAGTAAAACAATCTTGATTTTATGTCTCCTCATCAAGTTGACGCAGTGATAGCTGTCCCTTTTCTGCAGGTCTAGAAGCACACTCTTGTTCATCATTGATTGTTTATTTTCGTTGGGACCCCCCCCCCCCCACACACACACACACACACACACACACACGCACACCTTTTGTCTCTTCCTTTCTCTTTCACCTCTGTCTCCATAATATGTACAGTAACAATAAAGTTTTAATTATCAGGCGTGACATTAAAAGCAGACGCTGCCAACGAGAAAAATAATAATAATAATAATAATGACACCTGTTGGAACTA